TAACGTAACTTATATATTGATCTATTACGTCAATTTAATAAAATCCAAAATTATTTCATATCAAACTTTCGTTAAATTAAAAAAAAAAAATCTTGTAAAAGTGATCATTGTATCGTCGGAAATAATTGTTCAATTAATTTTTAACATCGTAGACATAGAGAAAAATATTTTCGACATATTTTTTTTTTCTTTCTTCTTTCTTGTTCCTTATGCCAACTAACTCATTTTAATTTCTCATAAAGAATATTAATTATTCTTGAAACTTTTCTTGCTTGCCATTGTTACGGCCGATGTTGGCACGAAACGTCAGTCAATATTCATTCCGTTATAAAGTAAAATTCATTTTGAAAATAAACTCAAAGTCAGTTTGAAAACTCACGATCTATTTTACTGTCATAATTATCTATATCGTATTTCATAAAAATCTGTTATAGTTTTGATAAAAATAAATACTCCGACGGTTTAAGGGGTAGCAAGGGAAGGGGGGGAGGGGTAAAAAAAAAAAGAATGATAAATCGTCGTATCAACGGCGATTATTTTTTTTTTTTTTTCGATCAATCGATCAATCAAATTATACAAACATTTTGCATAGATCGAAATTTACAATAAAATTGACAAAATCGATTTGTCTTTTACACATTGGTAATATTAAAAATATGATTGTCGTTGTAATCGTCGAAAATAATGATCAATTAACATTTAATACGAAATTAAATTCGATTGGATTTTATAATACGATATTAATTAATCTGTGTTACGTCGATATAATAAAAATCTTCATTATTATTATTATTTCATTCGAGACATTCGATAAATTAAGAAATCTTAGAAACTATGATCGTTGAATCGTTAGAAAAAGAAACAAAAAAAAAAAAAAGTAATAATAATAACAGAAATACGAAAAAAAAAAAAATGAACGAAATCAAAAGTTTTCACGTGCAAAAAAAAAAAGAAACAAATTCTATGGGATATATCATAAATACGTGATCATCAATGATTTATAAATATATATATATAAATATATATATGAGATGATGATGGTATCGAATTCCCTCTGTCGATGAAATATTTCTCGAACGTCCAAATCGTTGAATTTTCCATTGGAATTTTAGATTAATCCTTCTCCTTCTTTTTTGGCACATACCATATAACTCTGGTAACATCCATCCGCGGGGTTACGTAATTGGTAGCAGGTGGCGAACGACAGAAGGTGGTTGGCCCACGCAGACACGGACTAACTGTGAAACTAACGAGGAGAAAGAGGAGAAAGAGGAGGAGGAAGTCGACGACGACGACGACGACGACGACGACGACGACGACGACGATGACAACGACGACGGCGTCTACAACGTTAGCTATAAATAATAGAGGGAATCCCAAGGTGCTAGAAGAAATGTTCTCATATATACTCGAGAATATATATATATATATATATATTTGGTCAATTGAATTCTGATTTCAATGGAGAGAGTTTAGAAACACCATAGGCTAATTTTTTTTCACGTTGAATTTCGTTAACAATTTTAAATTCATAAATTGCATTAGTTTTTCCTTTTTCGTTTTCTTTTTTTTTTTTTTTCTCATTTTCGACTTTTTTTTTTTTTTTTTTTGTTTTTTTCTTTCCTTTCTCCCCTTCGACATGACAACACGATAAAATGATAATATCGTAACGTGAGCTGATTTAAAAAGGATAATACGAAATTGAACGATTGACACGATCAATTTGATTTATTTTCGTAGAATATACGTACGAAGTATCGTCAAATGACATTTGTTAAAATATCCAATATCGAAATACGACGCTATAAAAGTATATATATATATATATATATATATATATATATATATATATATATTTTTTTTTTTTTTTTCTCTTTAATCGGTACATCGTCAATAATTTCATTTTCACAAATTGCATTTGTGCTTCTCGTTTCCTGTTATTTCTTTTCCTCTTTCTTTTTTATTTTTTTTTTTCTTTTTTTTTTTTTGTTCTTTGTTTTTCTTCTTTATTCAATATTATAATACAACGATAAAATGTCGGACGTGTGTGAATGCATTTAAAAATGATAACGCGAAATTGAAATGGTAAACGCGAATAACCCGTTAGATTTACGTTATAAAATGTCGTCGATTATTAAGATATCAATCGATCAATTAAATTCGACATAGAATGAATGAAACATTTTGAAATATTAATTATGTCATGATTATCGTGATAAGGTAAATAGACGATAGGAAGGAGTTTCTCACTATGGGGGAACATTCACCTCATTCATCGATCCACCTAGAGAGAGAAATTACTATTTCAACGATGGCTAACACTCAGCGAACGAAGAGTAGGTCGTAGAGTACAAGAGAGAGAGAGAGAGAGAGAGAGAGAGAGAGAGAGAGAGAGCAAAAGGGATGATGGAAAAAAAAAATGAAAAAAGAAAAAAAAAGGTAGTCAGCGATGAGAAACGAAAACTGCTTTGAATGTCCGTCGTTTCTTTTCTATGCTTTT